CAACCTTGAATTTTGACTCGCTTCTCTCAGACTGGACGTTTTCCCGCCTTCAGAGCCAAAGATTCGAGAATTTACGGTCGACCTCGTCAATCCATGTGAAGGAGCTTCGTCGGTCCTACTCGACCGAATCACTCCTGACCCCATGTTAGCAACAGACAAGCTGCGCCTCTCGCCGCTATGAACCCCACTGCTTGAGCTCTGAGTGGTCGAGCGCGAGGTCACCGAATTTCGGAAATCAGAGGACATCGCCGAGCGTGAGGTGAAGGAACTCGAGTAAGATGAACTAGACATGCTCGATCGAGAAATACTCGTTGTCGTCACACTCGAGCTAAAATTGTTGCTCGAGCAAGTGCTCATGCTGCCGCCTGTGTTCGATATGCTGGCGCTCCACCCTCCCCGCAGGCTCCCACCGACCCAACCTTCCATGCTTGCTTATTTCTACAAACCTCACTTTACAATGATGTTCATCAGGTATGGAATCATGAATAATGAAATCCCGTATCTTCACTCCTCCTACACTCTAGCTTTGTCACTTCCCACTCTCCCTACATGTTTCTACACCTCGCCATGACCCGTAACGCGTCCTACAAACACAAGCCAAGCACTTCCACCATTTTCACTTTCCTTTTCGTCAGTGCGAATCCATTTTCAGAGACTTGGGATGGGTCTTCCATAGCCAATCACAGCGTAGGCTATTTCTACACGCTAGAGCAGCTGTATCTCCCGCACGACTCCTTTCGCACGCCGGGAGGGGGGCACTGGGCACTGGTTGGACGGCGAGCACCGATGCCCCAGACCCGGGCCTCTTCCAGCTCCGCCCATTCCCCGCCTACTCATTCGCCCCACTCCAAACCTCCAGGGTTCTATCTGTACAGTATATTCTCCTTCTTATGTGGGGTCTAACCAGATGCATAAGCGTACTATACAGCTAAATAATATAACATTGTGAGATGACGAGGCTGCTTATCCACAACGTTCCAGAAGGAAGGGGAGGCATGTCAGTCTAGTCCCCGCCTACACACGCGTGACGTCACACTTTTCTGATAAAACAACCCTCAGGTGTAGCCGTCTAACAAGGAAGCAGGACGGTGCATTCTTCGGCATTTCTCACCCATTAAAGTGACGGATCTATCGACCTTTTCCGACATACCCGACATCTATCTATTTTAGCCTCCCACGACGAAGGCCATCATCTACAGCAGGAAGCTAATTATCAACAACAGCAAACGAATCCCACGAGCTGATGAGGTGCGGGCGTGGACTAGCGAGTCCTCGTCTCCGCCCACCCGCTCCGGCACACTAAGACCTCGCCCCTTGTCCCGCCCACACACAACATTCCCGCCGATACCACCCAACACAGGCTTCCGTCATCTCACACTTCATCATCATACATTAAGCTCCGTCACCTTGCTCAGTCGTGGGCATCGCGTGAATAATACTAACCACACGGCTTTTTTTTTTCCTCCGCTCGCAAACACGTTTTTTTTCGGAGGACGAAAATAAAAGTGAAATGACGCCAGCGCTCGACAAAGACTATCGCCACCGAGATCTAAGAGGAAATGAGTAACATACTGCCCACTCCTACTGGGTGTCCCTCTTGTCCTGACCTCGCCACCTCCCGCCTACGCCCTCGTCGCCCACACCACCTGTCTGTTTCTTAAAACCTCGTCTATGATGCGATTTTCAAGTAAAAAAAGGCCTTCTTCGTCTCTGGCGAAGGTATGTGTGAGGAAATGTGCTTCTAGCTAGCGTATGTATCAATATTTATTCCTCGGTCGAGCTGTGGAGGTGAAGTAGGTAAGGCTAGTGTTGGCTGAGTCCATATAAGGGAGGCGGTGGGCTCCATTCCAGATCACTCCGCCCAGAACCCTCCTCCCTCCCTCTCTCCCTTGCCCCTCCCCCTCCCTCGATCCTTCGTCCCTCCCCCCTCCCTCTTGCCCCTCCCTTAACCGTCGTCATGATATTCAGCGCCGCATTCAGCTCCCCACGAAGCTCACTCGCTTTTCAGTCGCCGCCGTCACAAGCCGTGTCCTTTATTTATTTCCCCCACTAAATTTGGGAATTCTATAAAATCGACACCTCTTTCCCTAAACACCAAGCAAACAATTTTCTGCTTCCCCCTTTCCCTGATCCAGCAATATCGATCTCACGACCCCGGCTAAACTCCCACTCTGTTATTCGCAAAGCGCCCCGGGTCGTCGCAATGCAAATTCCCCCCCTACATTATCTATTCTAACGCGATTCCGTGGGTGAGCAACATCCACATATGGCGCGGCATGAACTCGCTCCCTTGCCCCTTGGGTGGCGGGCCTCATTAACACTCGCCGCCCGTCCGCTGCCGTCTCCGCGCCCATGGCTGATCTGCTTGTGTGTCTGTCATGTCTATTGCTTAGTTGTCCTTTGCATGAGTGTGCATTACCCCCTCCCCCCCTTGTTTGCTTGCAAGTGCATTACTGCCTCCCCCTCCTCTGCTTGCATGTGTATTACCGCCGCCTCCTCTACTGCATGCATGTGCAGCAGTCCCTCTCCCTCCCTTTGGCTTATTTGTTTACTGCCGCTTCCGCCATTCTTCTTCGGTCTGTCTGCCTGTTTATCGATCACCGTCCTTTGCCATCTTCATCTTCCTCCTCTGTCTCTTCTCTCCGGTTTGCTGTCTTATCTATGATTGCGCCTGCCCTTGGCCTGGCAGCTCACATGACGGCGATCTTATCTGCAGTCGACATCAACACCTGCAATTAACCCCCGAGGCGATCCTCTGATTTCACCTTCCAAGACACCCGAGTCGCCACTGGAGACTGTTCGGAGCAGCTGACATGCAGTCAATGAAATGCATACCGTAACTTGCCGGGTTTCCTCACCGCTGGTTATGCAAGTCATGCTTTCCTCCCTCCCCCACTACCCCTTCCCCCCACGGGGTGTGTGGCGGGGTTTGCTTATATTTCTTAACCTTGCAATGCACTCCCGCTTTGGACCGATGCCAATGATTCAGCTGAATTGTCAACAGCTAATCGTCCACAAACAATGGTCACAATTACTTTTTTATGAGCAGCGCCATCTGTCATTCATCAGCGTAAACAAGATAAACCAAGAACTGGCGCCAACCATTATCTTTTCCGTAATTGAGGTTCGCATCCTATCACTAAAAAAACGGCCTCTTGGAAAAAAAATCCGTTTCATTATTTCACAGTGAGAGCCATCTAGTTTATAAACATGTGTCTCTTCATCAATCATAAACTTGAAATGTAACGCCCTAAGGGTCGTGAAAATGATAAAAAAAACAACTAAATAAATACACATTCACAATTTAAAAAAAACAGCCAATTTAACCTTCAATCACCTTTAGCGAATCAGACCCCAATCAACCATGCATTTACGTGAGATTCGTATGTGTGTGTTAATGTTCAGAGTTAATGGCCTTCTACGAACACCCGGTCCGAACACGTAAATATAACCATGTCAGAAGATTTATTATCATACGATATAAACAACATGCTTATTCCCCATTTTCTTGTAGGTGGTGACAATGCATCCCTTTCACTGATGTTAATATATAAACGGTGTGTGTTACGTCATTGTGTTTAGTTATGTGTATCCGTATATATGTATAAATTTATGTTTATATATAAATATACAAATACATTTATAGATGTGACACGTATATATGTATATACGTATACATATAAATGTATACCTATATACATACAGACAGACACTCACTCAATATGTGTTTGCTGTGCATGTCACAAGCAATAACACGGAACTATAATAATAATCCATAAAACTTAGCAGTGCAGCTTTCAGTTAAAAAACCCATCATGTGGACTCATCGAGTTGCAAACCAAAAGTGAGTGTCAAGTGTCACGGCGGAGGACAGAAACCGGGCTGCGTGTACTTACGTTGAATTTCTTCTCGTGTCGGAACCGATTGTAAATCTTGGCGATTCGGTCGTACGTTTCGTCGGCGATGAACTGGTACTGGGCGTTGAGCTTGTCCAGCTGCTGAGCCACATTCTCTTCCCCACTCTGGATGCGAGGCCTCTTCCTTAGGCTCGCGTCCAGACTAGGGTGTACCTCTTCTAGACTTGCCTTGTACTGGGACAGGCGCAAGTCATAGATCTACAGAGGGTGTTGTAAATTAGTGGAGGTTAGTACTTGTTATTATTATTTTGGGTTACGAAGCATGTTCTTTTTTTTCTTATTTTGGTTGCTGTGAACAGAATTAGCGATAGAGAGAGAGACAAAGCCACCGAAAGCAAGTTATAATAACTAAACCAACATTACTCTGATTACATTATATTTACATGCCAATTTATTATTCTCAGTTATCCTGTAACAAGGAATGCATGCTTTGAGTAATGAAATTGAAATTTTAATAGAATGTACATGGGAGATATCTGAAAAAAGTCATCACCTGGAAAAAACCTGCAATGAACTCGAAAATCAAAAAATCGTTTAATCATTAATCGGATTCAGGTGACGCAAAAAAATAGTGACCGGATACTGTGATATTTTTGGGGTGCTAAAAATGTACGTGTGTGCCTGTGCTTATGTGAAACATACCTTGGCTTCCCGTATGAATCGGCCGCCAAGGGTATTTACATGTTCTATGCTTGTTTTCTTCGCTATAATTTTCATGTACATGCTCTGTAAAGAGAAGGTATTAGCATTAATACCCTGGAAAGTAAGACAGATGGTAAATCCTGGAAAAGATGAAGATAAATAATGACATTTACACAAACAGTCCCTGTCCTTCTTCATTGTCTTCAGTCGAGACCTGAAAAGTCAAAATTTGGGTCCGGCGATCCTTCGTTTCGGGGGCGCAAGGGCTTAAGGATACAGGATTTCGAGGGGGTTTTGTGGGGTAGGAGTTTGTGATAGCATTTGGTTACCGAGTTAGTACTGAAAGGAAATACAGTTGTAGAATAAAATGGGAGAGTTGAGAATGTATATTTTCTATATTTTTGGGGGGGATGTGATAGGATTTTTTTTTTTTTTTTTTGAAAAGAGAATCCCGTGAGTTAAAAAAAGAGCAGAACCGTATCTCTGTGAGAGCAAGGGATTTGCAAGAGAGAGAATATTGACAGAAAGAACATAGATTATTTTGCTGTATGGAGGGCTCGGGCTTACCCTCAACCTCTCTAGTTCTAGCTCGGCCTCAGAAGGTCCGAGGTCTTCAATCTTCTGGTTGCGGAGGCCAGTCTCGAAGTCGCTGAGGTCCACCTTCTCCACATCATGGCCATTGCGGTACTTGGTGAGAAGTTCGCATGCAGCTTCACAGCTTCGCAACCTGGGCGAACGAAGCAGGACATTTCAAAACAGATCCACTTTATATGTTAATATGGATTCCATATAGAAGGAAGTACCGATTATTCCATGCCAACATAATGTGGTGGGTGTAAAAAAAAAAATCGAGAAAGCCAAGAATAATAACCTTTCAATAATTTGCGAGCAGATGTTCTCCCAGCGCATGCGCAGCTTTCTCACGTCCTCTTCTAATCTGTCGACGTCCGGGTGGATCTTCTGACTCGGTCTTGACTTCACTACAAGTGTGCGAACATTGCGACATTCCTCCAAGAGGCGATCGATCAACACCTGTGGGAGAAATTTTAATCGGGGGTTATTTCCGTATGTTCTCACCGAAGGACTGTTTCTAAACTTTCTAAAAATAACAAGGAAAAAAAAAGAGACCTGTATAACTGCAGCACGTACCTGGTGATCTTGGACAATCTGCTGGATGTCGAGGAGCTCCTGGTGAACGCGCTCCAAGTCATCGAGTTCGTCGGGCAGGTCCTGGTGCTCAGCGAGCTTCAGCTCAACCTCGGACACGACTTGGGTTCCCTCCTCAATGCCAGTCACAACCATCTCGACACACTTCATTCTATAGAGTAAATAAAAAAAACCGTGTCCTTATTCGTACGACAAAATATTCGAAGGCGCTTTCCGACAATCGACACGTGACACTGAAACCTGCATTCCGAAGCTAAATTTCGGTTCAAACCAAGCGGAACTCCCCATAAAGCTGACATACCGTTCGATATACACATGCGAGAGGGCCCAGATGCGATCCCATTGCTGTGTGATGGACTCGACCTGGCGTTGTATGGCAGGCGTTCGGCGGGTCAAGTTCTGGTAGTTCTTCTGGATGCTTTCAACCTGAGGCAGGGGCAGTAAATGTCAATCAGTAAAATAAATAAAAACAACTCAATTGCCCATGCAATCAATCAATAACCATTTCTATCTTTCCACTTCTCCCTCTATTTATACAAATATCTATACCTATCTACTTCTCTTTCCATCTGCATCTATTTTCTCTCCATCTGTATATATTCTCTATTTTTCCATCTATCTACCTAACAACTACTTACCTCTCACTTTCTCTCTATCCGTTGATCTGTCCATCTATCCATCAGTCTTTTCATCTATCCATCAGTCTTTCCATCTATCCATCAGTCTTTCCATCTATCCATCAGTCTTTCCATCTATCCATCAGTCTTTCCATCTATCCATCAGTCTTTCCATCTATCCATCACTCTATCCATCTATCCTTTATTCTATTCATCTATCCTTTATTCTATCCATCTATCCTTTATTCTATCCATCTATCTCTCTATTCTCTCTATCCATCTATCTCTCTTTTCCCTCTCCCTCTCCCCATTGGGCCGCCCAGCATCCCCGGCGTCCTCACCTCCAGCTCATGCGAGGAGAGGTCGTTCTCGAACTGCTTGTGCTCGATGACCAGCTGCTCGAGGAGGTCCAGGTCCCGAGGGATGGCAGCAAGGCACCGTTGGATGAGCGTCTTCTCCATCATGTCGAGGTACTCCTTGAGGCTGCTGCATTGGTCGGACAGCACTGCCCCTGGCTTGGGCTCTGGGGGAGGCATGCAAGGGATTTGCGAATTATATAAAAAGGTTTTTAAGTAATGTAATGTGTGTGGGGATGTACTGTACGTAGGGGGGGAGGGGGGGTGTCACTGGTAGGAGGTAATAATATACACAAAATGTTTCGATATAATAGTGTTTAGGGTTTTTTTTTTCATCTTAAGATTTATACTGAAAGAAACATTGCAACTGTAAACAATCTTGTCCATGGGGTAAATCCAGTCTACATTATATAAAGTGATTAAAAAGAACAGATAATTGTACAAAACTCTTACTGAACTCAGCTATCAAATATATGAATTACTTCAAAATGTATGGATCTGTATCTGGTCTACTCAACCCCCCAAAAATCTATTTTCAAACACGTTATAAAAGCATCTAAACTCGAAGAAAATATATTTATGCAAAGTTAGACTACCGTGAATATACAAGCTAAGATTAAGCAATGCAGTCTCAGGTAGTCTGGTTCCAGTTTTCTATTTTTTGACGAGAGAGGGGATACTATTTCAAACATGACTCACGCAAGGCGTATACTTCGTTTTACCGTCACTTCATTGTTTAGGCTTCATCTTAAGGCTCTATCTACACAATTAGACATGGAGGAAAGTGTGACGGGAGAGAATGCCACGACGTGCACTGTTCGAGGCAAATTCAACGCCAGAGACAGACATCACAGTCTAAAGTTACGACAGTCGGCTCAAGTGGTTTTATTCCAGGCGCTCCAATGTCATTTACTCGGCCACAGCTCAGCGTCTCAGTGTCTAAGCTGCAATCAAATTCATCGTGAACAGCAATAACATGCACACTGCCTCTTCATTAGTATATTATTGAAATCGTTAAATAAAATAAATCTATGTTTACAATTTGATAAACCCATGACGCGATAGACTACGTTACATTGGTATCTATCAAGGAGAAATATTGGTTGACTTCTTATACATACATTCTTACTATTAGTGTTGATACTTAACTGCTCCGTTACTTTACAAAAATCCTTGATCAGTTTGCATGACAAGTCTCGAACTACGCAGGTGTGGCCAGACAGCGGAAAGAAATCACGTTGCATATGCACAAACGCAAAACATTTTACCTTCTCTAGACACGTCCGCTTCGTGGAAAGACGAAGAAAATCCACTTTCATTTAAATTTCCTGTTTCGTCCAGATTTTCTGAGGTTTCGAAGAAAGGCTCGTCGTTTGCACTGCCTTTCTTGTCATCGTGGCAACTGCATTTGCACTGTGCATTCTCACACACTTTAGAATTCTCCGCTAAAACGACTTTGTGGAGGAACAACACGGTTCCCTCGAGGTATCCCTCGGTATCCTCGGCTGCTTTCTTTAATCTACATTTAAAAATCTTCCCTTGAGTGTCCCAGATCTGCCCCAACACAGACATATACCCGTACGGCGGAATCATTGTGGACTTTTCACAACCGAAAATATCACAGCAACGTAAAGACAAAACACACACAAGGCTTCTTTTTGGCACACACTATGGTTTCAACAAAGGCTGCTATTCACGTCGCTAAATATCACAAACGGTGTTTAGAGAATGCAGTGGAAGCACCAAGGAGGAGCGAATGACTGACAACATGACTGGAGGGAAGCAGCCATGTTGGAAAACTCTAGACGACGTCCACCAGTGCTGCCCTCTCTCGCACTCTCGCACTCTCCCTCCCTCTCCCTCCCTCTCGCTTGCTCTCCCTTCTAGTTCCCGTTTTCTCTCGGAAATCAATCCAGACTGCAGTCCTCGCCTGAGTCATCCTACAGCTGCATTATTTCAACCAGGACAACAACATCCTTGTGACGGTATGAGGAAACTTAACCGTGGGGGTAGTATGGACGAGTGTACAAATGTACTAAAGGTACACATTTCTTTTACTGACTCCAAAATGACTTCCACTGCTTGCCAATTTCCGGGAGTTCTTGACATCATACATATGGATTATCTAGCGAAACACTGAAAAATCTAAATCATCGTGGTTTTATCGTTTAAAATATACACATGTTTTTTCTCTCTCTCGTAGGGAAACAAAGCGAAGTACAGTCAACATTTAAAGGGGGCATTATGATATTTCTAAAGGACATACTACTCTATCATAATCTCCCAGCGTGGAGCGACGACACTATACATCATATCATATATATTTGAAAGGTTAACACTCACCGGCTGCACGACGCTCAAATTCATCGAAGAGTCTGTTGACTTCATCGATCTCTCGCTTCAGTCGTCTCAGCTGGGGGTCGTTCGGGTCTCCTTCTTGGATCAATTTCTCAGCGTCTTCGTTCAGCGCCTTACGGATGGCATTGCGCTGCTCTGCTCCCATCGCAATGAACTGTGGAGAGGAGGTCAAGCCAAAGATGTTATTACAAAGTACCCTATTATAGTTTTGATGAGACCATTACACACCACAGACAATTCATCAGGGAGTTTGTGGGGAAAAAAACACATAGTTCTCGCAAGAAGTATACCTGAGCAAGATCCCAGCTCTTCACAACCTTGATGGTAGCAAAGATCATGTTCTGACGCATGCGCAACTGTTTCTTCTGCCAGAGGGCGATGCACCTTTCGTACTGGCGCTTGAGCTTCTCGGCGGCGTCGATGGCCTCCTGGTTGGGCGGCGGGATGGTGAAGATGACGCCTGGCACCATGCCCTTGCTGCCCGAGCTGGTCACCACGCTCCACTTGACTCTGTTGCTGTTGTCATGCACAGTGCAACGCTCGCCCTTGTTGATGCTCATCTGAGAGGAATAAACGAGCGCGGGTTGACTTTAAAGTGTTACGAGAGTGTGGGATAAATGGTGTGTCCAGTGTTAGTTTTTCCTCATGACTCACGTTTCGGAGTTTTTAAGGGGGATATCCAAGTATATTCTAAGTACTTATTTCGAATTTTCTTGGTTGAAGAATCATAAAAGACAATATACTTACATCCATCTTTTTGTAGTTGCAGATTGCAGTGACGGACGTAGGCTGTCTCAGTGTCTGTCTGCGTTGCTTGAGAGGGACAACGGACTTGGCCCTGTTGATCAGCTCATCCACGGTCGAGTTGAACTGGGACAATTCTTCCCGGATGTCCTGCATTTCGCGCAGGAGCTGTTCGCCGTCATCCAGACCGAAGTCCGTCGTCGAATATGTGGTGTTCAGCTTCTCGTCTTGTCTGCAAGGTAATTTAGAAGAAAAATATATATATATATACCTAGTAAATAAATCCACTTGTTTTCTTTCTATTTTAGAACAGATACTGATATCCCTTTGGCAGAAACACACAGCAAAACCATCGTAAAACTAGAAACTCACGCCATGATCCACTGTTCGGCGTTGGCGATGTCAGTGAAGAAGGTATGGTAGTGGGAGGCGTGCTGGAGATGCGTCTCGAGGCACAGGGTCAGCTCCAGGAGCCACTGCCACTGCGTCTGCATGGCCGCCAGGTACGCCTCCACCGTCTTGCTGGCAGGATGGTGTCCAATGACCAAGCTGTTGCCACGGTCTTGTACGGCGCTAAACTGCACCTCTCTCTTTTCGAGTTCGCTCATGAGTTTCTGCGAGTGTTATAAAAAGTGAGTTATTACAAATGTCAGTGTAAATAATCGTCATCATAACATCAATCACTCTTGCTGTTTAGAAATACTGTATATGTATAGGTGATCTTTATTCTTCCACGTGAACATAGGGAATATCTCACCTCATAGTAACGTTCTACGTCATTGATGTTCAAGCTCTTGTTAGCCCAGTCTCTGTTCAGCTCTTGTTCCTCGCGTTCGTTGAGCCAAATGAGCTCCTGTGTTGCAGCTTGCAGGAAATCCAGGAGGCTGTGCAAGTCTGACACACGCTTGTTGCTCAGAGAGAGAAGCTCTGCATAGATCTTACGCAGCTGAGACAACAGGTTGATGTACACCTGCTGCTCCTCGCCGCTGAAGTTACTCTGCGAGAAGAAAACAAATTACATATTCTCATAATGTCCTAATTAAAAAGGTTAATCAAAACCATTCATATTAATGCCTAGTAAAGACAACAAAATAATTAACAACTCGTGAATTCACAAAAAAATACATTTCACTATGTAATAAACAACCAGTACCAACGAACACACAGAGATTTCAACGACACGAAAGTAACAATCAATACACAGTACAGCGGGGAGGGGGAGGCGGTACTTCCTCCTCCTCCTCCTCCCTCCCCTCCCACCTTCCCGCCTCTCCCCTCATCAGCCTCCAAGTCGCCCCTTGTTACCTCCTCGGCTGCACACTTGTCGACGTTAGTGTGGAACTGATGGATGATCTTGTGCTCTTTCTGGTGGCTGTCGTACTCCTTCTCCACAGCTGCCAGGTCATTGCCGTATTCGCTGTCGTTCAACTTTTTCTACGGGGAAGAGGGATACGTCTTGAGTCTCTCTGCTATATTCCATGTATTTCAACGTGTATGTTTTACGCAATTATCGTTCATACTATCATCGTAGATCGAAAGCATAAATAAAACATTAATACTTACAAGTTTGTCTTTGCACCAGTTGATACACTCCTGGAGGAACCGGAAGTGTTCGTTCGTATCGACAAGTCGGGATTCGGAAACAACTATTCTCTTGGTGGTGGTGTAGGATTCTTGTTGGGTAAACGATCTATTGTTAAGAACTATAAGCAGGCGGTTCTCGAAGAGGGTCCTCACACTTACGTATCGTTCTTCTAGTTTCACAACCCTATGGGGGAAAAAATGAGATTAAAATAAGTATACAGGTGCCAGGATGTATCGAATATATAAACACAACACCATGATGATCACAGTTAGCTTCACGGAATCTTAAAAAATAGACAATTTTCTCCGCGCGTTGGCATTGCCTCCTCGGGCCCTCTCGGCCGCCGCGACCTCCTCACGCACCTCTTGTGAAGCGTAGGGGCCTCGTGGTATTTCCCGTCGCGGAGGACCTTGACGTCGGAGTGCAGGGTCTTGATCGTATCCTCGCACTGATAATAATAATAATAATAATAATAATAATAATAATAATAATAATAATAATAATAATAATAATAATAATAATAATAATAATAATAATAATAATAATAATAATAATAATAATAATAATAATAATAATAATAATAATAATAATAATAATAATAATAATAATAATAATAATAATAATAATAATAATAATAATAATAATAATAATAATAATAATAATAATAATAATAATAATAATAATAATAATAATAATAATAATAATAATAATAATAATAATAATAATAATAATAATAATAATAATAATAATAATAATAATAATAATAATAATAATAATAATAATAATAATAATAATAATAATAATAATAATAATAATAATAATAATAATAATAATAATAATAATAATAATAATAATAATAATAATAATAATAATAATAATAATAATAATAATAATAATAATAATAATAATAATAATAATAATAATAATAATAATAATAATAATAATAATAATAATAATAATAATAATAATAATAATAATAATAATAATAATAATAATAATAATAATAATAATAATAATAATAATAATAATAATAATAATAATAATAATAATAATAATAATAATAATAATAATAATAATAATAATAATAATAATAATAATAATAATAATAATAATA